CAGGAACACACCTGCAGTCAAAATACTGGGGGTTTGTTTGGTTGCAGTGAGGGAAAATGCATTTGCATCTTTGGGAACCATGGAGGCTGTCTCAGTAAGGAGTGTATTAGGAAGAACCCATTATAGGACTTAGGTATTGGTTGAGTGGTTGGGGGAGGATCAAGAGGACAGGTATTTGCTCTAGACTGGATGTGTCAGAAAGCAGAGGCAGTTCTGTGGTTGCATAAAGAATAGCAGTCATTCATTTAGCAGGAGAGAGGGCTGTCTGGTATTCTGTGGGCTGCACAGTGGCCTTGTTTTTCCTGTGCTTAAACCAAATTTAAAAGTAGCCTTTCTTTTTCTCATTTTATTGTGGTTTGACAATGATCATGTCTGGGGCCAGCATTCTGAGATGTCTGTGCCCGATAGGAGAACCACTGGCTTCCTTGTGAACACCACGGGCTTCTCAATGCCAGAAGTTACTCTTTTTCTTTCTTTTAAAAATTTATCACAAGAATTAAGCTTTTGTGGGGGAAGGAGTGAGAGGAGAAATAGGAGCAAATAGGGTACAGAGGCTTCTTCATGGACTCGACCTGCCTCCCTCAAGGCCACCACCCCTTGCTTCTCTCTCTCTCTCTCTCTCTCTCTCTCTGTTGGGAGGAGGAGACAGCAGCCAGGTGAGGGTGTGTGGCCTCCTGGAAATAGGCCTCACCATTCTGTTGCTTCGTCCATTCTCTTGCAGCAGGATAAGATCAGACTGAGGGGTCAAAGTTAGCAGAGTAAAAGCCAAGCCTTCCTCGCTGTGGCCCTTCCTTCCAGCACGGAGGGTCAGAAGAGGAAGCTGCTTCTTTTCACCTGTGCCTTTCGCAGGTGTGTCACTCTGAACACCTGTCCGGGGACCTTCAGCATATCTGCACTGAAGTTTACACTTTGAATCAGGGGAGCTAGTACTTCAAATGCATCTCCTGGTGAAAAAGAAAAATGGGTGATAAACTACGGGGGACAAGTCCAGGTTAAGTATCTTGAAAACACTTCCTAAAATTCTACCAAAGACTCACAAGCCTTTCTGGGGAGATTGTGAGAGAAGGAAGGGAGAAGAAACCAAAGGAAGGTTGTCATTGATTAGGGTTGAATGGCCCCTTTACCAGTTTCCTCTTTTTTTTTTTAAGACTTATTTTTTATTTATTTGAGAGGTAGAGTTACAGACAAAGAGAGGGAGAAACAGAGAGAAAGGTCTTCCATATGCTGGTTAATTCCCCAAATGGCAGCAATGGCCAGAGCTGAGCCGATCTGAACCCAGGAGCCAGGAGCTTCTTCTGGGTCTCTCATACTGGTGCAGGTGTCCAGGCACTGGGGTCATCTACTGCTTTCCCAGGCCACAGCAGAAAGCTGGATCAGAAGTGGAGCAGATGGGACTTGAATTGGCACCCATATGGGATGCTGACATGGCAGGCAGAGGCTTAGCCCAGTCCGCCACAGTGCAGGCCCCAGTTTCCCCTTAAGGCCCCTCAAAACTTCTCATTTGCTTCCCCTATTCCTTTCCTGAGTGTTTCCCATCTTACACTTTAGCTCTGACTCTGGTCATCTTTTTCAAGTTCCTGCTTTCTTGGGAGAGCTGCTTAGGACTGTATTGCATTCCTCTGACCTGATTTCAGGCCCCTCCAGTCAGAACTTGCCAAACCAGTGTTTCTGCAGACCAATCTTCTCCCACGTAACTCATTACACTCTCCTTAGATCTCTGGTGGAGGAGGAAGATTTGAATCTTTTTAAAAAAATTTTATTTATGTATTTTATTCGAGAGGTAGAGTTACAGAGAGAGAGAGAGAGAGAGAGAGAGAGAGAGAGAGAGAGACCTTCTATCTGCTGGTCATTTCCCAAATGGCTGCAGTGGCTGGACTGTTCTAAAACCAGGAGCCAGAAGCTTCTTCTGGGTCTCCCACATGGGTGTAGGGGGGCAATACTTGGACCATCCTCTGCTGCTTTCCTGGCCATAGCAGAGAGCTGGATTGGAAGTGGAACAGCTGGGACTCGAACCAGTGCACATATGGGGTGCTTGCCCTGTAGGTAGTGGCTTTACTCTCCATGCCATAGCACCAGCCCCTAGAATAGATTTTTTAAAAGACACATGCAAGAACTGAATTGTAAGATTAAAAAAAAAAAATGCACTGACCCCACTCCCATTAATGAACTCATGCAAATTCCTTCTTATTACCCTGAGGCAGTATGTAATAAAAAAAAATCCAAGAGAAGGATTAGTTTTGAGTAGCACAATTCTTTTTGTACTCATAAAGTCAGATTCCCTTGACAATATTCTTTTCTTCAAACTATAATTTAGACCTTCAGTATAATATATTTCATGTCACTAGGTGGGGGTAATCTTATTTATTTTCGTTTTGTGGAGGAGTAGCACAGATATTTAGTCAATGAACAAAAATATGCACTGCTGGGGAGTGGTTGCTTAGTCTAGTGTTTACAACATCCAAATCCCACATCAAAGTGCCTGGGTCTGATTCCCAGCTCGGGCTCTAGACTCCAACTTCTTGTCAATTTAGATTCTTGGAGGCAACAGAGATGGCTCAAGTATTTGGGTCCCTGCCACCTATATGGAAGACCCATGTTGAGTTCTTGACTCCTAGTTCTGGCCTCTGCCCAACACCAACCATTGTGGGGATTTGGGGAGTGAACCAATGGATAGGAATTCCATTCATTTACTGCTCTTCCTCTTAACTAAATTAAACAAAAATAAATTTTACAGAAAATTTCTATGTCTATGGCTCTTAAAAACTGATATTTTGGGGTTGGTGCTGTAGTATAGCAGGTAAAACCGCCGACTGTGGTGCTGGCATCCCATATGGGTGCCAGTTTGAGAGAATCGGCTGCTCCACATTTTTTTTTTTTTTTTTTGACAGGCAGAGTTAGACAGTGAAAGAGAGAGACAGAGAGAAAGTTCTTCCTTTTCCGTTGGCTCACCCCCCAAATGGCCGCTACGGCCGGCGCACTGCGCCGATCTGAAGCCAGGAACCAGGTGCTTCCTCCTAGTCTCCCATGCGGGCTCAGGGCCCAAGCGCTTGGGCCATCCTCCACTGCCTTCCTGGGCCACAGCAGAGAGCTGAAGTAGAAGAGGAGCAACCGGGACAGAATCTGGCACCCCAACCAGGACTAGAACCCGTGTGCCGAGCCAAGTGAGCTGCGGCGCTGGCCAAGACTTGGCTTTTCCACTTCTGATCCAGCTCTCTGCAATGGCCTGGGAAAGCAGTGGAAGATGTCCCAAGTCCTTGGGCCCCTGCATCTGCATGGGAGACCTGGAAGAAGCTTCAGGCTCCCTGCTTTGGATCGGCCCAGCTCTGGCCGTTGAAGCCATTGGGCAGTGAATCAGTAGATGGAAGACTTCTCTCTCTCTCTGCCTCTGTAACTCTGACTTTCAAGTAAAATAAATAAATCCTTGAAAAATAAAATAAAATTAATTTAAAAACTTAATGTTTCCTTCAGGATCTCTTTCATGTCTTTCAGTAAGGCTTTATAAATTACTTAAAATTTTTGTACAATTACATGTCCTCGGCCTGAGAAATGCTATAGGGTCAGGCCATTGATTCCTGGTGGTGTAAAGTCACAATGACATACAAAGTGTAATACACAGTGATGGATTTTGCAGGAGAAAACACACAGGAGCCTCTCTATCAGTCAGTTCTCAGTTTTAAACAACTGGAGCAAAACCTTGCTTACTTGAGCAGAACAACGCTATGCTAAAAGGACAATGTTGCCACTGCTAATTAACACCACAGTTATCAGGTTCTCTACCCCGCCCCCCTCCTCCAAGGCTGCAGCTCCCAGACACTGGCATTTCTGTTACCAATGGCAACACCACTTCTCAGGCTCTTTAAATCCTGAGATACAAATTAAAAGTCTAGAGTAAGATGCGTCTAACTGGCCTGGCCAAGGTCACATACCAGCATACAAGCTGTTAAAGAAGACTGGGAGAGCATCCAATTACTTTGGCTTATTTAATGAAACATGGGATCTGTCTCCCATCAGTCCACCCAAGGTACAGAATTCACTACAGAGGAAAGGGGTCTGTATATGGGGCTCTCTGTCAAGAAACACACATCTATGGTACGCCCTAATCTATCTCTGCTAGACATAACCACAATGCATTTTTAAAATGATACTAAAGGATATAAAGGTTTGTGCTATCAAATCCTTCGATTAGTTGATTAAAAAATTGTTTGGTAGGAGCTTTACCAACAACTCTCAAAGGAAACGGGACAAAGTGGTTGCTGTCCTGTTTCTCTTACCATCCAAGTGTCTACCCATCTTCGCATCTCACCTTGAAGATTTCATCTCTATCACTGTTTGCCACTTTCTCTTCCTATACACTTCCTACTTCAGAGAAGTAATTTCTTGTGTAATAATACTTTTCAATTATTACAACTTTATGTTGCCTTACCTTCTGTGTAACATGATGTCAGACATGCCTGTTTATCTCTCTCAACCTTGGTTTGCTTATTTGTAAAATGGAAATGTTATCATAAACTTTAAACAATTATTAAAAAGACTAAATGAAACAAATATTTACAAAGCCCCTAAGCACCATGCCTAGTACTTAATGAAGTTTCCAAAATGATAAAGAATATTATTTTACACCTCTGTTTGATCATGAACTTCTTGAAGACAAAGACCACATCTTATTCACTTTGTATTCAGGACATGGGGTCTGGTGCTCCATGAATGTGAAATTTAAATGCTTGTCCCTGAATATAAGTTAGGTCACTACACTTGTTCTGTATCTCTGTTTATTAGACGATCTCTTTGAGACATTTAAATGAAATGCACCTTAAAATATAAATATGTGATAATAATAATAATATCCAGTTAGATTTTTTTTTGACAGGCAGAGTTACAGGCAGTGAGAGAGAGAGAGACAGAGAGTAAGGTCTTCCTTCCGTTGGTTCACCCCTCAAATGGCCACCACGGCTGGTGTGCTGCGCCGATCCGAAGCCAGGAGCCAGGTGCTTCCTCCTGGTCTCCCATGCGGGTGCAGGGCCCAAGTACTTGGGCCATTCTTCACTGCCTTCCCAGGCCACAGCAGAGAGCTGGACTGGAAGAGGAGCAACTGGGACAGAACCGGTGCCCCGATTGGGACTAGAACTTGTGTGCCGGCGCCGCAGGCAGAGGATTAGCCTATTGAGCCGTGGTGCCGGCCCCCAGTTCAATATTTAAATCTTTTTTTGTCAAAATAACCACTAACAGGAAATTAAATTTCTCCACAGGTCATCTGTTAAAGTAGAAGATAACACAGGACTTTTATTTTAGGATGAAACTGTTATCTGAAGGACATCTAAGGCTTTGTGTTGTTCAACCAATACATCTCACATCATGGCTGCTCATGCTTTTCATTCTGAAGTCAATCTCTTCTCTAAAACCTGCACGACTCCCAATTTACCAAAGGAAACCTTTTATTGCAGCTTGGAATGCTCCAACGGATCAATGTTTGATGAAATACAATTTAAAACTAAATTTGAAAATGTTTCAGGTGATTGGAAGCCCTTTGGCCAAGGCCAGGGGGCAGAATGTCACTATATTTTATGTCAACAGATTGGGATACTATCCTTGGTATACATCAGAAGGGGTCCCCATTAATGGAGGCCTCCCTCAGAACATAAGTTTGCAAGTCCATCTGGAGAAAGCTGATCAGGACATCAATTATTACATCCCCGCCAAGGACTTCAGTGGACTTGCTGTTATAGACTGGGAATATTGGCGACCACAGTGGGCCCGGAACTGGAACACAAAAGATGTCTACAGACAGAAGTCAAGAAAGCTTATTTCTGATATGCAAGCGAATGTATCAGCTACTGACATCGAATATTTAGCCAAGGCAACCTTTGAAGAAAGTGCAAAAGCTTTCATGAAGGAAACCCTCAAATTGGGAATTAAGAGCCGACCCAAGGGCCTTTGGGGTTATTATTTATATCCTGATTGCCATAATTATAATATTTATGCCCCAAACTACACTGGGTCATGCCCAGAAGAGGAAGTTTTGAGGAATAATGAGCTCTCGTGGCTCTGGAATAGCAGTGCTGCTTTATATCCGTCTATAGGCGTCAGAAAAGCCCTTGGAGACAGTGAAAACATTTTGCGCTTTTCACAGTTTCGAGTGCACGAATCCTTGAGGGTCTCCACCATGACATCTCACAATTGCTCTCTGCCTGTATTTGTCTACACAAGGCTAGGATATAGAGACGAACCTTTATTTTTTCTTTCTAAGGTAAGAAACTCCTCGCTCATTGTGGCAGATTTCTTCCCTATCTCTAAAATATATATTTCTTTTTAAATTAAGCTCTCCTTAAGAACTCCCAGGTAATGGTCTATCAGATAAAAGCTTAATTCTTGCTTGATGAGTATCCACTTAGACTCTTTATTTATGCAAAGTGAATTTTTATTACCTTATTATTCTTTTAAGGTCAGAAGGAGTTAAAGTGCAATACCTGGAACTGCTATACTTCCTGTCCTGACTTTGAATATACCCCCTTACAATGGACTGTTTTGGAAGGTTATTGAAATGGTTGGCTGTGAACAGTTTATAAAGTCTGTGGGGATATTTTTAAATGAAGTCATTTATTCACACATGTAGTAGTAGAATTAATGACATTCTTGTTTCTGTCCCCACCATCTCAAATATCAAGGGAAACAATGTTTTCTTTCAAATACATAATCCTTTATTTTTTAAAAAAGATTTTATTTATTTTATTTGAGAGGCATAGTTACAAACAGAAAGAAGGAGAGGCACAGAGAGAGGTCTTCTATCTGCTGATTCACTCCTCAAATGGCTGCAACGGCCTGAGCTGGGCTGACCCAAAGCCTGGAGCCCTGTCTCCCATATGGGTTTAGGGGCCCAAGTACGTGGACCATCCTCTGCTGCTTTTCCAGGTCATAGCAGAGAGCTAGATTGGAAGAGGAGCAGCTGGGACCGTAGCCCCATGGGATGCCTGCACTTCAGGAGAAGGCTTAGCCTACTACCTCACAGCAGCAGCCCCTCAGTTGCATAATCCTGGCTTTTATAAAGAGGATAAGGGAGTACAACATGTGAATATACATGACACTACTAAATTGCACAAGGAAACTTCAAAAGGTTTGTGGAAAATGAAATAAAAAAAAAATAATACCAGTGGGTGAGTGCGTGGCTTAGCAGTTGTTTCCCTCATCCGTATCAGAGTGCCTGAGTTTGTTCCCTGGCTCCAGCTCTTGACTCCAGCTTCCTGATAATGCTAAAATTATAAGACAATTGCAAAAAGTAGATGAGCTTATGAATTCAGCCATCTTGCTTTCTCTTGCCTTTGTGACAGCAACGAATGGAAAATTGGTAACAGTTGTGTGTTTTTAAACTTAATACTTAAATCATTAGTACACCATTTTGTAGCCCAAGTTCAAACCTACAGATAGAAGTTCTATTCTGTCTATTTTTACCTGTCTATAGGCTGTCAAAGACCTCATACAAACCAGGAGGTAATTTTTAAAATAGGTGAAAATAAATAATTCAAAAACAGATAAATTTTTAGCTAGATTTTCCTTCCACTTTCTCCTTTTTGCTAGTATAGACACTTAACTGGAAACCTCTAGGGAAAGTAGTTGGTAGTCTAGTCTTTGGATTTGTATATTTATATTTATAATTTCTACTCTGAGAAAATTTGAGACTTGGTTAGACCTTCATATCTGTGATGTAGTAGTGTTTTAAGATGTTACTAGATACCAAGGGCTTAATATAGTTTAATGGAGATATTTCTTCTTTTTCCACCATTACAACTTTCAATTCACCAGCATGTGTTAAAATGTAAAGGCATTCTGAGTGTTGGTATCCTAATGAAGAGGCTTGGGAAACACCCAAGTGGGGACTCTACAGTGACTAGCAGGTATCTGTGGAGCATGGAGCAGGCAGTGGGGGGAGCTGTATTCATCAGAGAGAAGAGTGCCAATGTACAAAGCATTGTAAATGCTGAGTCTCAGATGCCATTCACAAGACGGGGAAGGGAAAAAAGTCCACGGTGAGCTGACATTCATAATGCCCAGAAAAATCAGTGGTAAATAAAGTGATTAGTGAAGAATGACAAGCAATTAGTACGATCTGGAAGATTTTAAGAAGTTACCTAAATATAGGCCGGTGCCGTGGCTCACTAGGCTAATCCTCCGCCTTGCGGCGCCGGCACACCAGGTTCTGTCCCGGTTGCCCCTCTTCCAGGCCAGCTCTCTGCTGTGGCCTGGGAGTGCAGTGGAGGATGGCCCAAGTGCTTGGGCCCTGCACCCCATGGGAGACCAGGAGAAGCAACTGGCTCCTGCCTTTGGATCAGCGCGGTGCGCCGGCCGCGGTGGCCATTGGGGGGTGAACCAATGGCAAAAGGAAGACCTTTCTCTCTGTCTCTCTCTTTCTCACTGTCCACTCTGCCTGTGGGAAAAAAAAAAAAAAAAGAAAAAAAAAAGAAAAAAAAAAAAAAGAAGTTACCTAAATCTTTACAGAACAATCTCAATGCTGGAATTGAAATATAATACCACCTTCTTCTGTGAGAATTCTTTCCTATATTTGGCTCAAAAAATCCCTTTATTTAGTGATAAGAAATGCACTTTTGGGAGAAACAATAAACTTTTAGGAACAAAATGTTCTTTTGTAGAGATTAGTTCAGATTACTGGTACATTTTGCATGTTCTGCAAACCTGGGGTATGCCTATCTCTCCGGTAGCTTTTGCCTCAGATAAACTTCCATTCTCCCCCAGGAAAGAAGGAACAGTTTAGGTCTCACATTTTACCCCTCCCATCTTCTGAGCAGCAAGCTGTTTGCAAGATTTTAAGTCATCAGCATACTTACCACTGTATCCTATCCACCATAAAAATGTGATTACAATTTGTAAAATACTTGATAGTCATTTGTACCAAATTCAGATTACTGAGGACTTTTGTATTTGACTTTCCCAAAAAACCTGCGTACTTTAGAATATACACTTAACATACAGTTAAGGTTAGAAAAAAGCTTTACCAAAAAGTAGCAAATCTCTTAATCTTCCTGGACTTCAGTGTCTGAAATGGGTCAGTGTTACTTGCCTACTTACCTCACAGAAACATTATGAATGTCAAATGAGAAAATGCATATGAAAATTAGAAGCACTAAAAAAGTTCACACGTATCTAAAGTTGAACATGGGGTATCTAAGAATGGAATCGCAGGCAGCAACCATACTTGAGGGAATAATATGGAAGCAGTAACACCTGATTTCACACAGAAGGTTGCCTACACTACTTACATATAAATGTAACCTAGGTATAACTCGATATTATGCTTTAAAAATAACTGAAAGTGTTTCCATGGCTATAGACTTTAAGATAATTATCCCTGCCATTAATGAATGTTCCCTCAGAGGGAGCTCATTCGTGATGCTCCAGCTCCCCATAGTGGGTATCTCACTTATGTGCACTTTGTTCAACATCTGGACTGAAAACCCAGTGTGGGAAGAGTCCTGTATGTATGTAGCCCCATCTCCTACTTCTGGCACTGTCATTCAATCTCCTGGATAATGGGCAGAGGCCAGGCAGCTCTGTACTCCTCTGGGCCCTGGGAGTCCACTTTCACTAGGTCTGCATTCCTCTATTTCTCTTTTCACGTGATATCATCCATATGGCTCATACTCTTCTGGGTTCCACGCAGAGGCATCTGATCTGTGACTTCCCTCGCTGGTGGTGTCCTGGCTGTTCTGCAGCCCAAACACAGTTGCTCTGTGACTTGGGTAGTATCCTGCTCTCTGCTCGGTGACCGTGAGCTAATTTGGGGAGAAATCTGCATTAATATCTATTACAGCCTCCTCTCTCTTCAAACATGTGCCTGAAGACTTGCCATCTTACATTAGTTTCAATGAACCCTCTCACAATGACATGGAAAGACACATTGGAATGAAACTAGCATCACCCTCAGAAGGTGTGGATGTCACTACAAACATCTGTAAGCTCCTAAACTTATTGAATACAGTTCAATAGCCTCTAAATAGAAAATACAAATGTTGTGTGTCCCTCCTCCTCTGATGACAAAGCTTCCACCCAAAGGAAGGCAACTGAGGCTTTCTGCCCCTCAGACCACACCATGTGACTATCTCGTTTCTATCCAAGGAAGTTTTGAAGTGGTGGAATATGTCTTTGTGGAAAGGGGTAGAGGACATGGACCAGCAGCATCTGCAGTCCAGATGCTGCATGGGTGGCTCCTCTTCCAGCTCGCTCATCACACCACTCATCATTTTCAAAATATTTTTGCTTACATTTTTTTATTTGGGTCTCCCAAAAGTCTGCCTCCCTGGTCAGAACAGTCAGCTCTGACCTGTTCTACAGGTACTGTGGTCATGGGAATGGGAATGGATGTGAACCTGAAAAGGAAATTACCTTGAACTAAAGATTTTTTTCCTTTTCAAAAATTATAAGAAAACTGCCCAGGAGGACAAAAAAAAAAGCTGAAATTTTATAATCTTTATGTGTCAGATTATAGATTTCTCTTTCAAGTATAGATATTCATATAAGTGGTAAAGGAAAAGTATAGTGTAAGGTTCCCCTTTTATTTTTCACCAAATCACTCAATACACTTACTAGCACATAACTGCTGAAAATTCATCTTTGGAGTAAAAAGTGAATACTTAGTATTCTAAAGAGTGAAACATAGATTCAACTCTTAATTTCTCCCTGAAATGTCCTAGAACATGTTAAATTTTTAAAAAATATTTATTTGTTTGAAAGGTAGAGCCATGGGGATGGGAGGGGGAAAGGAGAGGGAGAGAGAAAGAGAGAGAGAGACAGAGAGGGAAAGTGAGAGAGAGAGAGATTCCAACTGTTGGTTCACTCTCCAACTGCCCATAACAGCCTTGTCTGGCTCCATCTGGGTCTTCCCCATGGGTGGCAGAGGCCTCAGTATTTGGGACATCTACTGCCTCCCCAGACACATAGGGAGCTGGATCAGAGGCAGAGGAGCTGGGACTTGAACTGGCACTCCAACATGGGATGCCCGCATTGCAGGCGGTGGCTTAACACACTGTGCCACAACACCAACCCCGTGTTAAGTTTTTTAAAAAAAATTTATGTAAGGTACACAAATTTCTTATATGTCCTATATACATATTCAGGAACATAATGATCCTTCCCACCCCACCCTCTCTCCCTCCCTCCACCCTTCTTCTTCCTCCCTCTCTTATTCCCATTCTTAATTTTTATGAAGATCAATTTTCAGTTAACATTATACTCATAAGATTAACCCTACCCTATGTAAAGAGTTCAATAAATAGTATGAAGAAAAAAAACACTGTTCCTTAACTGTCAAGACAAGAACTGTTAAAAATCATTGAATCTCAAAATGTCAATTTTACTCCTATAGATTATCTTTTAGTTTCTCTATTACTTACCATAGATCAGGGAAAACATATAGTATTTCTCTATGTGATTGGCTTATTTCATTAAGCATAGTGATTTCCAGTTGCATCTGTTTTGTTGTAAATGGCAGGATTTCATTTTTTTATTATTTCTTTTTTAATTTTTTCAACTTTTATTTAATAAATATAAATTTCCAAAGTACAACTTTTGGATTATAGTGGATTTTCCCCCATAGCCCCCCTCCCACCCACAACCATCCCATCTCCCACTCTCCCTCCTATCCCATTCTTCATCAAGATTCATTTTGAGGAGAGAACTTCCACTTTGACTATGGCCTTGTCTAAATAAGATCAGAGTCTGTGAACTCAAGAGGCTTCCATAGCCTTGGCAGCTTATGACAAGAGCCTTGGGTGATTACTGACGTTATAAATAAGAGTGCCAATTGTTAAATCAACAACGGGAGTCACTGTGCACCTACTCCCCATGTAGGATCTCTGTCCTTAATGTGTTGTACTATGTGAATTAACGGTAAAACTACTACTCAAACAGTACTCTATACTTTGTGTGTCTGTATGGGTGCAGTCTGTTGAAATCTTTACTTAGTACATACTAAGTTGATCTTCTATATATAAAGATAATTGAAAATGAATCTTGATGAAGGATTTAATTTTTTACCACTGTGTAGTATTCCATAGTGTATATATACCATAATTTCTTATCCAATCTTTAGCTGATGGACGTCTGAGTTGATTCCATATCTTAGCTATTGTGAATTCAGTTGAAATAAACATGGGGGTGCAGGCCACTCTTTCATATGCTGATTTCATTTCCTTCCCTATATTAATTTTTAAACACTAAAACAATAAACATTTAAGATTATAAAACAAAAATTCTTCCTGCTGAAATTTTTTCATCTATCTTAACCATATTGTGAAAAATCCAGGTGCCTTTACCGTGAATGGATGACTCACAAATAAAGTCCATTAAATCAGGCACTTTGAAATTAAACACATATAATGTCAGGGATTAAGTACACAGCCTAGACCAAATCAGCAAGCTCTTAACATTGCTTCTTTGCCTGGCCTTGGGAATGAAGTAACAGGAACCCGTCTGAGTAACTAAGGAAGCGAAGTTCCACTGGGGTATGTAACAGAATGGGAAGGATTCTGCTTAAGAGGATTGCATTTGGGGAAAGAAAATGCTTGGCCTCTGTTTCTGGGTCATATATTGAGGTTGGTTTCTAGGTATATGCCCCTAGTCAACTTCATTTAAACAATTTTTTGATAACTATTTATCCTCAGGCTAATTGCCTTCAAATAATTTCTCCCATGGTGAAATGTGTTTTTCCTTAAACATGTTTATATGAACTTGCTTCTGCTATGGAGGATGATTTTGAACATTGGTTATTGAGCATTTGTGTTTTTGTGAGAAGTGGAGAATAGTCTCTCAGATACAGGAGCCCAGGTCCTACCCTGCTTCAATGAACTCAGTCTCTAATCTCAATTTCTGGTGGATTGCCATATAGCCAAAGTCACGATGAACTCTGTTCTCTTCTATCCAGCAAGACCTAATCAGTACCATAGGAGAAAGTGCTGCATTGGGAGCTGCAGGCATTGTTATCTGGGGAGACATGAATTTGACTTCATCTAAGGTAAGTCCACACTTTGAAGGCATATTCCACATTTTTTAGAGTATTTACTCTGCTTTCCTGCACAGCTCATTTCAATAAAGCTCTCATGGCCCACACCGTAAACCAGCTTTATAATAAAAGTCCAAATCAGTGCCCAATACATACAATGAGTCAGTAAATATTATTAACTTGTGAAAATAACAATCATAACACGGATACTTGTTGACTATTTACTATCTAGCTAAGAATTTTTGTTTTGGATTTGCCCACTTACTTATCATATGAGGTAGTGGCCATCCTCATTTACAGATGAGGAAACAAGATTGGAAACCTGAGCAGTGCAACATCTAGTTAGTAGTGGAACTGGCATTAAGCACAGACCATTCGACCTTGGAACCCATATGCTCAACCATTACATTAAATGCACTTTATTCTACTTTGAGAAGTAGTATCAGATAATAACTTTTTAATCTTCATATTGAAGTTTTTTTTCCTACAGCAATATCAGCTGAAAATTAATAGTATTTAAAATAAGATTTATGTATCTCTTCATATTTCTCCCGGCTGAGAAAAATCTTCTGAGTTTTCCCCAATCCACATTAATCACAATCTCTTCTGTGTTTCCCTGTGTCATTAGTTTATATCTTTATAGTGTCACATATTTTGACTTGACTTATAATACTTGCATCCTGAAGACATTTTGTTAAATTGAATTTTTTATAAGGCCAGGATGATGATATTATTTTTAGACTCTGTGGACTCAATTTGCTGCTTTTGAGACTATCTTTCATGGAAATATTTATGACTATGACCACCTATGAGGATTAGATGCAAATGGAGTGGAGCAATTCTTGACTCCAGGTGTGAAATTCCACTGCAGCTGCCATGTGAGTCCTGAGCAGAGCTCCATCAGGGGCTGTGTGCACAGCTTGGTGGCCTCTGTTTAAAACTTATAATAGGAATCACACAACTATAAATGACCTGGTTAGCCTGCTGACTTGCCTATATTTGAACTGTACATGGACATTAGAACCCAGATCAAATAATGTCTGAACAGAATTATGAGAAAACCCATAGTTTGACATCCAAAAAGAATTGAGTGAAATATGATGATTTAGGTTCTAACACAACCATGAAAGGCATCCTGTCACTGAATGGTAGTCCAGGTGTAGAAGCTCTGGTACAAATCCAAATTTGAGTTTGTTCCTCTCCTTTTTTTCACACCAATTAACTTGTACACTAGAAGGAGGAAAAAAAAACGGTATAAATTGGAGGAAGGCAAGGTCTCATATGCTGACTCTGGGGTCCATTTGCAAGTTCAGTTTCTTAGCCCACCTGTAACATACTTTTCCCACCTCCTGTCCCTTAGACCTGTTCCCTTACTCATATGGGAGTTATAGTGCCTAGGAGTCTCAGAGTTCACCAACTGGCACTAAACCATAAGATTCAAGGTTTCAGTCAAGTGCAAAGAACTGCCTTGAGGGCCTAGAAGCTCTGATTGTATCAATATCAGGAAAAACACTAAAACCCATTTGTTTCTACATTTCTAGGGCAACTGTACAAAGGTGAAGCAGTTTGTGGGCTCTGATTTAGGGAGGTACATTGTCAACGTGACCAGAGCCGCTGAGGTGTGCAGCCTTCACCTCTGCAGGAATAATGGGAGGTGCATAAGGAAGATGTGGAGAGCACCTGATTATCTCCACCTGAATCCTGCAAGTTTCCACATCGCGGCCTCTGAGGACGGAGAATTCATTGTGAAAGGCAAAGTATCTGATACAGACCTGGCAGTGATGGCCGAGAAGTTTTCCTGTCATTGTTATCAGGGATATGAAGGGGCTGATTGCAGAGAAATGAAGACAGTAGATGGCTGCTCTGGGGTTTCCTCTTTCTCTGGCTCACTAATAACACTGCACTTTCTGGTTTTAGCAGGTTATCAGAGCATTCAGTTGTGCGATAATTGAGTTTAAAGGCAATTGTGTGGCCTCCAGTATCATCACTTAAGGAAAAGACAGAACTCAAGACATTTCCTTTCTCCTGTGAACTCCACTGAGAGGTATTATAAGGAGACATTATGTGTGTCACTTAAAATAAACAGAAACATATTACTTTATTTCTCAACAATTTGGCTACAAACCACATCCAGGAGTACAAATCAATGCACTTTTCTTCAGTATTGGAATGTATAAGTTGTACTTAAACTAAATCTAATGTGTTTTAATATTTTTATGAATGTACATATGTGAACATGTACATATAAATACTAAATTATTGATTTCAAAGACTGTTTTTTCAGCTACCAGTTTATCTTAGGACAGGTTACTAAGTAGTCATTTGATCCAACAGAAGGCATCACTGCAAGGCACAAGCTGATCAACTGGTCCAAATGCAAAATTTCTATTTCAGCCTCAGGCTCCCTCTAGATATCTGCTTTCACCCAATCTCTGCTTACAGAACTACTCCTGACATAGCTTCTCCCAAGAGGGCAGGCACTGAGACAAGGAAGCTGTTCTCAACTCATTGCAAAGGCATCTATTCAAATAAAGTGGCTCCCTCACTACCACAAGTCCTTCCCTCACAGGACCCTGGCAGTCTGAATACTGCAGAAGCTTTTGGGCCAAGGTCCATGATTCCTTAGGCTCATGCTGCTGTAGCTGGAAGCTGCAGCCATGTTCAAAAATTGCAGTTGTAGGTTTTTGCAAGAAAAAAATAATCATTGAAGACAAGAATTAGCAAATAACATTTAAGGCACCCAGAAATGTTGAAAATGGGGCCTATCAGAAAAATTAGATATTTTTGCACCTTCTCTCCCACCTACATATGAGTTTTGAGTAGTGTTTTAGGGAAATTTGGATCTAATTTGAATCATGGTTGTATGACTCTGCACAAGTTATGTTTCTCATTTTGTCATTTGAAATTTGGTAATAAGATTCCTACCTCAATGAGTTATTCTAGAAATAAATGGAATAATATATCCCTTGCATACTTTAGCTCTTAATACATAAGGCTGATCCTCAATTATATCTTCGTCACCAAAGTAATCGAACAGCTCAGGCTAACATGGGTTCTAGGGCTATTTCCTCTTCCTGTTGCTATGTTGTATTTATATTCACTCATGCACTATGTTGGTTTCCTGAGAGGCACACCTAGTGGATAAGATTTCCTCCCCTTGGAGCTTATCTTACCGGAAGAGAGACTCAAGAAAGATGTGATGTTGTTTAAGAAGGAATGCTAGTTGATTCTCCTCCCTCTCCACCTCTTATGTGTGTCTTTTGGTGACACATTTCCAGTTTTTAATTCAACTCTGGATCCCTCTTAGCAGAGGTTACCGACATTGTTCAATATATTTTTAAATATAAAACACAAATAAAACAAACACTTTTATAATATCAGGAATGAAAACATTACTTAGATTAACTTTTTTAAAAATTAAATTTATTTTCATATCGAAGATATGACTACACTATAAAACTTTGTAAAGTATAAAAATAATAAGTGAAATCACCAATAGTCACTCTAACATACTGGTAATTTCTGGCAAATTTTTCTAACTTTTCTTCTATAGACTTTTTTTTACATCATTGTAATAATAACACTTGCAAATATTTGATCCTGCATTTTCACTTAAATATATAAGTAATTTCCATAGTATTTTTAATCCTATAGATATAATTTTAAACCTATTTTTAAGGCCACATAAAAATCTACCAACTAGATGTTGAACACTTTAACAATTTTCCCTGAGTTTTAACTCTTAAATTCAAGCTTTTGCTATTTGGTCACCTTATCAGAGAAGACTTTCCAGACTTCCTCCTAATTTATTCATTTACCTATTAATCAATTCATCCATTCATTAATTTATTGAGTATTACTTCTTACCAGGCACTGTATAGGGTTTGGAATACAAATTGGAGCAAAACAGACAAAAAGAGATTTGCCTTCTTGGAACTCATGCTCTGGTTGGGGGAGACAGCTATTAAACACACAGATAAGCAATTTGTATGACCTATTAGGAGGGAAAAGAAAGTACCACAGAGAGCAGAGAGGTGGAGAGGGTGTGTGCCACATGTTGGGGCTCTCGTAGGAGACAGAGTTAACCCAAGGAATCCTCAGGGGAAGGAAATTTCAGGCAGATTAATCATCTGCTACACATTCCGTAGAAAACCTGGTGTATTTGAGGAGCTAAGAGGTCACTGGGGCTGGGATAATTCCCTCCTCCACCAACATCCCTTGTGTATTCTTTGGTCTACAGCATCTAGCACCATTTGACATAAAACATGTTATGTATTTATTTTCTGTCCTCCTTCACTAGATTGTAAAATAAGAAAAGGAGGACTTTGTTTTGTTCACTGACAACACTACTTGCTGCAGTGCTTGGCATATGTTAGGTGTGTAACAGGTATTGTTAAACGGAAGAATCAGTGAGTGACTCAGAAACTTGGACCAGTGGAACCCATGAATATGTTGTAAAGTTTTTGTTTTTATTGTGCATATTGAGTTATGGTAAGGTCATCTTCAAGTGTTATTATTCTGTTCTTACCCTAGCACAATAGTCTATGACATCACATAGTGCAATTCCCATGTAAACAGCTGAGGCCTGTCGAGAATAAGTCATTTGGCAAACTCAAACAATCAGTAGGTGAAAGAGCCCAATCGGGAATCTCAGTTGCCAAATTGTCTTTCTATCATAATTTTGTCTTCCTCTTCTTGTAATTGAATTCAAATACATTCATTCTGGTTTTGATCATGAATTTATTAATGCATTTTAAATTTTTCTTTGTTTGGGCTGCTACTACTGGTTATGTTCAATCACTCTCTGGTTCTTCCAGCTGTAGATTTAATTTGGCTCCCTGTTCCTGTAGGAAATCCTCCTTTTAAACTGCTTAGGCTTCTTATAATCATACTAACTTTCCCATATGGGAGCAGTAAGATAATCAACCTCTCTAATCTTTGGTGTTCTTTACATAAAGCAGATAATAATGATATCTTTTGTCCTCTTAAACAAATTTAATAATATACATGATGTAATAGCATTAAAAACTGGCACATATGTTCAGGATATGCTCAAGCTGACTTACCTCAAACGGTAGAGTTAGAAACATACCAGGGGATTCCAATTCAATCCCATCAAGGTGGCATGTACCAATGCCATCTCACTAGTCCCAGTGATCAATTTCTGTTCACAATTGATCATAATGATAGGACTAAGAACCAAAGGGATCACATACACAAGAATAGTGTCTGCAAATACTAGCTGATAGAATAAAAAAGGGAGAGAACAATCCAACACGGGAAGTGAGATACACAGCAGACTCATAGAATGACAGATGTCCTAAACAGCACTCTGGCCTCAGAATCAGCCCTTAAGGCATGCGGATCCAGCTGAAAAGCCCATGAGAGTATTTCAGGCATGGAAAGCCAAAACACTTTGGAAAAAAAAAAAAACCTAAATGAAAGATCTCTGCGAGTGAGATCCCAGTGGAAAGAACGGGTCATCAAAGAAGGAGGTACCTTTCTCTGAAGGGAGGAGAGAACTTCCACTTTGACCATGGCCTTGTCTAAATATGATCAGAGTCAGTGAACTCAGGGTGCTTCCATAGCCTTGGCAGCTCATGACAAGAGCCTAGGGTGATTACTGAGGCCAGAAACAAGAGTGTCAATTTGTTCAGTCAACAACAGGAGTCACTGTGCACTTACTCCTCATGTAGGATCTTTGTCCTTAGTGTGCTGTACATTGAGGCTTAATGCTATAACTAGTACTCAAACAGTATTTTTCACTTTATGTTTCTGTGTGGGAGCAAACTGTTGAAATCTTTACTTAATGTATGCTAAACTGATCTTCTGTATATAAAGAGAAACGAAAATGAATCTTGATGTGAATGGAAGGGGAGAGGGAGTGGGAAAGGGGAGGGTTGCGGGTGGGAGGGACATTATGGGGGGGGGAAGACATTGTAATCCATATTCTGTACTTTGGAAATTTATATTCATTAAATAAAAGTTTAAAAAAATAAAAAAAAAACTGGCACATATGAGTAAAAAACCCCTAGCAAATGCAGCTATTATTGTTAGGTACTTTAAATATTGGTCCTCATAAGAGCAGTGACAAATAATATTACTTCTATTGTGAAATAGAAGACATTACATATAACTCAGAGTAGTGAAATGGTCTAGTTAATATGACACAGAAGTACCAATGGCCTGAACCTTCTCTTTTGAATCTTATCCTAGTTATCTTTTCATCAGAGCTCAGTAGGAAAAAAAAAAACTTACTTGTACTTATTTCTTCTTTACTAATTTTCAGAGAACTATAACTCAAGGAACTCTAGATGGCAAATAATATGGATTGATCAACAAATGAAAAGTAATGAAAAATTTCATATGTATGTCAACATGAATATTGTTCAGTTAATTATAATGTGTATGTACAATGGGATAACATGCAATTTTCAAAAAGAAGAAAGAACGATATTTATATGCCAAAAGATATCTAAAATAAAATTGTCTTATTTGGAATTTGTTTTGACCGTTTTCTAATCATATTGAGGGAAACTTGTGATTGATACATTAGAAGTATATTTTCCATCACATTTTACTTATTTATTTTGACTTTTTATTTGAAAGATTGAGAGAAAAAGAAATTTTTCATCCACTGGTTAATCCCCCAAATGTCCACAATGTCAGGGACTGGGCCAGGCTTAAGCAGGGAGCCAGGAATTCAATCTGAGTCTTCTGTGTGGGTGCCAGGAAGCCGCCACCTCCCAGGGTGCACATTAGCAGGAAGCTGGAACTTGAACAAGGCACTCAATAAAGCCTGGACTTGAACAAGGCACTCAATCAAGGATGTGAGTGTTCCAAGCAGCATACTCCTGTACCAAATGGTCACCACTGCATTTTATAAGGACTTCCTGTAGATATCTAAACTAATTAGTTTCCTAAGCATCTACTGGGTATGGAATTCAAAGAGATATGGGTTAAAAAAGCTATACATGATTAACCAACCAAATTCAAGGACACTATAATGTCATCAAGAAAAGAACCAGGAGAAGCCATCATGAAGCCATACATACTGAATGTAAAAATGATGTACAGTGCTATCAATATTTTGAGATTTTGCCTATTCTAGGCCTTGAACAGCAGCTCTGTTATAGTACCATAATCATAAACTTACAGAATAAAGATTTAATAACTGCAAAAAATTTTTGAGTTCAAGTAAATGTTTTATATTTTTTGCTTCTGCTCATCAACTAAATATATACAGACACTGCTACTATTATCTTCAACAGTGATCTTAAGAAGTTGGAAAAATTTGAAATGTTACTGAAAATCCATATGTGAACTTGACACTTTCTTTGTGTTGGCATTGAAGTCAGGCATTCTGAAATGGGACGTGAGTGTCCCAAGAGGCAGCTTAACCCTCTGAGCCACAACACTCACCTCCAGACTCTTTTATTATTAAAAAAGTTATAGTAAGTGAACAAAAAGATTTGACTTTTTTGTTTTCCATATTCAAGAACATAGTGTGTTAGTTTATTTTGGGTTTTCTTTTTGGACTCAAAATGCTGATTTATTCCTTATAATGCCTTCAGTTTCAAAGAGGTTACACGTTCAAGTGACAATATAGAAAATAGACTCTGGGAGGAGCCAGCCTGATGGTGTAGTCAGTTAAGCTACCTGTGACACCAGCATCTTATATGACCATATTAATGATTTCCTGTTTGTTGCTCTGCTTCCCATCTAGCTCACTCCCTGGTAATGAGCCTGTATAAGCAGTGGGAGATGGCCTCATTGCTTCAACCCCTAATACCATTATTGGAGACCTGGCTGAAGTTCCAGGCTCTTGGCCTTGGCCTACTTTAGCCATTTGGGGAGTAAATCAATGGATGGAAGATCTCTCTCTTTCTGTCTCCCTTTCTGTCTGTCTCTCTCTCTGTAAGCCTGCCTTTCAAATAAATAAATAAATAATTATTTATTTTTTTAAAAAGAAAATAACAGTGACATAACATATAAAGTGCTCACTTCAAAAAAACTTAGAAATTAAAAATTAAAAGTAAAATAAAAGAAAAAAAACTCAACAAAGAATTCTGTATTCAGGGAAGCTACATTTCAAAACTGAAGGTGAAGTAAAGATATGATCAGATAAACAAAACAGAGAATTGGTCATTTCCAGACATGCCTTAGGAGAAAAACTAAAGAAAATTCTTCAGATTGAAAGCAAGGGAATTCCAGACAGTAATTAGAATCCACACAAATAAAAAAGAACCCTGATAAGAATCATTATGTAATTACAAAAGGCAGTATTGGGGTCAGCACTGTGGCATAGCGGGTAAAGCTGCTGCCTGCAGTGCCGGCATCCCACATGGGCATCGGTTCGAGTCCTGGTTGCTCAATTTCCAATCCAGCTCTCTGCTATGACCTGGGAAAGTAGTAGAAGATAGCCCAAGTTCTTGGGCCCTTGAACCCATGTGGGAGACCTGGAAGAAGCTCCTGGCTCCTAGCTTAGGATCAGTGCAGCTCTGGCCATTGTGGTCAACTGGGAAGTGAACCAGATGGAAGACTTTTCTCTCTCTCTCTCTCTGCCTCTACTTCTCTGTAACTCTGCCTCTGCTTCTCTGTAACTCTGCTCTCAAATAAATAAATATTTAAAAAAGGCAGTATAAATGTGTTTTTTTCTCTCCTTTCTTAACTGACTTAAAAAGCAATTGCATAATACAGTACACTTATATACTAATACTATATATGTACATATGTACATATTACATATATAGTATATATGCATATGCATACTATATATAAGTATATAATATATAATATATTATTGGGCTGATATCATGTAGAAACATAATTTATGATAGGAATTTTAAAAGCCAAGAAATAAAATTTCCATATGATACATAATCTCATACTAGGCATATGTCCAAATAAATGAATTTATTATATCAAAGAGACACCTGCACCACATTTATTTAAGCACTATTCATGGTAGGCAAGAAATGGATTCAGTCTAGATATTTACTGATTTAATGAATGGATAAAGATTATGTGGTATATATATATAAAACTGTAATATTACACTGTAATAAAAAAGGAATTCTAACATTTGCAGCAAAGTGGATAGAATTAGAGATCATTATGTCAAGTGAAATAAAAAGACACAGAAAGACAAATACTACATGTTCTGTCTCACATATGGAAGTTAAAAATAGACAATATGAACTTACTAGAATTTGGAAGAATGAGAGTATCATATAAGATTGACTAAAAGGTTTCAAAGTAGGGTTAGATTGAAGTAATAAGCTCTTGTGTTCTAAAGCACTGTGGGATGACTATATTTCATAATAATACAGTATATGTTTTAGAAGAACAACTGAAAGATAGAGGCAGGTAGTTTCCAAGCACAAAGAAAACATAAGGAAATGGAAAAGCTAGTTGCCTGGATTGATTGGCTTATGCTACTTAAATGTGTTGAAATAATACACTGTACCCCACAAAAATGTACAAGTACTATATATTAATAAAAATATAAAAAACAAAACAATGGCCTTTCTGGAAGAGACAACCTACCCATGCGAGCACGTCTCTCACAACGGATCTCTTCTATCCCTCTCCAGAAGAGAAGAATGCAAGAAGCAGCACCTGGTGCAGAGCCCCAGTTCCTACTTCGTGGCTGTGAACTGCCCTGGATGCTATCAAATCACCATGTTTTTTAGCCATGCACAAATGGTAGTTTTGTGTGTTGGCTGCTCCACTATCCTCTGCCAACCAACAGGAGGAAGAGCAAGGCTTAAGAAGGATGTTCCTTCAGAAGGAAGCAGCACTAAAAGCACCCTGAATCAAGATAAGTGAGAAGCCTACCCAATAAGCACAGTTTGGATACATCCTGCTCACTGTCTCGCCTAACTGTGAGGAAGTTCCGGCCTCGTGTATTCAGGGACAATCAGAAGAGGGGCATCCTAGAGTCATTTGGGGCAAATTAAAAAGAGGAATGTTGAAAGCTCACCTGCACCAGACCCATCCTTCATAACTCTCACTACCACGACAACTGGCGACCACACAGGAGATACTGATGAAAACTGGTGCTATCATCTGTTGAAGGAAGTGAAGTTGACTACTCTTACATGTGATGCCCAGGCCAGAGAGGGGGAAAGTGCCTGTGGCCAGAGACCACTAGAACTGGGGAGCTGGAGAAGACCTTGGAGAAGAGATAAAAGAGCATTGTTTGGAAGAAGAATGTGTTCCATTTTCAAACATACGGTACGAGAATTTTCGAGAAACAGATTTCTACTTGGTCAGCTGGCACTGAAGTCGTTTACGTTTTACTTCTTTTGATGTGTTAACAATATCAAGGAAGAAAATAAACTGTGTGAATAAAGTGACTTCAGAAAAATTAAAAAAATTGTAAGAAAAAAGTAAAAGGATGGGAAAGATATATCATACAAACAGCAACCTCAAGAAAACTGGTGACTATACTAATATCAGACAAAGCAGACTTTAAATTTTAAAAATTACTAGAGATTAAATAAGATATTTTATAATTATAAAAGGGTCAATTAACCATGAATATACAGCAATTGTAAGTATATATACACACCTAAAAATAGAGCATCAATATACATGAAGCAAAAACTGACAGAAATGAAGAGAGAAAATATAATTCAGCTATTACCTAATAATTTCTTTAATAACCCAAGTTTAGTAATGAATAGAGATGCTAGTGTTGTGGTATAGTGGGTAAAGCTGCAGTCTAAAAACTGGCATCCTGTATGGGCATCTGTTTGTGTCCCAGCTGCTCTGCTTCTGATCCTGTTCCCTGCTAATGACCTGGGAAAAGCAGCAGAAGATGACCCAAGTACTTGGGCTCCTACTACCCATGTGGAAGACTTGGAGGAAGCTCCTGTCTCCTGGGTTAAGCTTGGCCTATCCCTGGCCATTGTGGCCATATTGGTAGTGAGCCAGTGGACAGAAGATATCTTCCCCTTTGTCTCTCCCTATCCCTCTCTGTGACTCTGTGTTTCAAATAAATAAACTAATATTTGCAAAAATGAGGAATAGAAAGGGTAGGTAGAAAATATATAAGAAAATAGAAGACTTGAACAACATTGTAAATAAATTTTATCTAAAAGACATGTGTATAAGATTCCACACAAATAATGGAGAAGATTCCTAGTAAGTGTTGTGTTTTTGAGCTGATCCAAATGGTCTAAAACTGACTATGCTGATGGTTGTACGAATCTGTTAATATACCAAAAAAGCATCGAGATGTACACATAAATGGGTAAATTGTGTGACATGTGAATTACATCTCAGTAAAGTTGTGTTTAAAAAACAAACAACAACAACAAAAAACCCTGAGCTGCACTTTCGAAAGTACCGATTTAATGGATTTGGTGTGGGGCAAGGGCCCTGGTGTTTGTTTATTTGCATTGTTTCACAAATGATTCTAGGGTTAAGAAATAGTCTACACGTTTGCTCTCCTGGGTAACCTAACTTACTGGGTACACTATAGCACAGTTAAACAGGTTATAGA